ACACCAAATACCACACACCACGCACCAACACACCAAACACTACACACCAACACACCACACACCAGACACCAAACCCCAACTCCCAATCCCCCAAACACCAGGCAACACACACCAAGCACTAACACACCAAACTCACAACACCAAGCACCACACACCCACCAAACACCAGACCCCAAGCCCCAAACACCAAGCACCACACACCACACGCCAAGCACCACACAGCAAACAGAACACCAAACATCAAGCACCAAAAAACAATCATCAAACATCAAGCACCAGACATCAAATACCATACACCATAAACCATACACAAAGCCCCACACACCAACCCCCAACCCCCGAGCACGAAATCCCAAACCCCAAACACGAAGCCTCAAACCCCAAACCCCTGACCCCGAAAACGAAACCCCAATCCCCAAGCACGACACACCACACACCAAACCCTAACCACCAAACCCCAAACACCAACCACCAAACGCCACACACCAAGCACACACACACACACACCCAATAACAGAAACACCAAACAACACACATCAAACACCAACCACCACACACCAAACACCAGAACCCCAAGCCCCAAACACCAAACACCAAGCAACCATCACCAAACACAAAACACGAATCACCAAACACCAAAACCTAAACTTCAAACACCAATCATCAAACGCCAAACACCATACCTCAAACACCATACACCATACACCAAGCCTCAAACACGAAGCCTCTAACACAAAACCCCAGACCCCGAACACGAAACCCCAATGTCCAAACGCGAAACACCAGGCACCAAGCACCAGCACACCAAACACCAAACACCACATACCACACACCAAAACCCAAACCCCAAGCACCAAGCGCCAAACACCAACAACCACACACCAAGCACCACACCCCAAACGTCAAACACACATCACCAAACACCATACACCGAACACCAGGCACTAAACACCATACACCATACACCAAGCCCAATGCACTAACCCCCAAACCCCGACCACGAAATCTCAAACTCCAACCCCCAGACCCCAAACGCGAAACCTCAAACACCAAACACCGAACACCAAACACCAAGCACCAAACACCAAACCCCAAACTCCAAACACAAAACCCCAAACACTCAACACGATCCCCCCAAAACAAAAAAACTACCCCAGACCCCAAACGCCAAACACCATTCACCATTCACCAAGCACCGTATGCAAAACACCATGCACCAAACACCATTCACCAAACACCATGCACCAAACACCTTGCACCAAACACCGTCTCCTGTCTCCATATTCACCCTCGTCCCCCCCCCCCACCCACCCACCTCCATTTGTTTCCTCCCCCTCCTCCTTCCCCCCACCTCCTTGTTCTTCCTCCCCCTCCATGTTCTTCCCTCCTCATCCTGCGCAGTCGGGCCATCGATTTAGATGTGGGCGTTGATTGGCAGGAGGGCCACTCGCCCGTAGGCGGCAAGCGTAGGGGGCTGCTCAGGGCCAAGCATCGCGGCGGTTAGACCGACGCACCGCGCACGGGAAGGGCAAACATTGTTTCGTGAAGAAAAGGGCCCTACGTGCAAGCGTTGGCTGGAATATTGATGGCGCTTCGAGTACGCCTACCAGCCCATCCAGAGGCGATGCCCACGCGAGGAGCTTCGAGCACGGAAGTGGCGCCCCCCGTTGCTTCTTCATTGTTGCGTTTTTTGCCCCAGCTCGATGTTACGCAGGGCGCCTTGGGGCCCGAAACAGGCTTCAAGGGGCCGGATGACGAAACCAGCCTCCAGGGGCCAAGGGGACGTCATCGTCGTCGTCGTCATCCGTGGCCGTCGTCGTTCCTCATGCGTTCTTCGTCGCAGTCGCGTTGTCAGTCGTCAGTCGCAAGTTGTCCATCGTCGTCGTCGCGCTCTCTCTCTCTCTCTCACTCTCTCTCTCTCTCTCTCACGTGCGCGCCGCCGCCCAGGGGTAGTGGGGGGATACGGCGGCGGAGGAGGGGGGCGAGGTAGGGGGGACAAGGACAACGGGAGGAGGGGGAGGAGGAGGAGGAGGAGGAGGAGGAGGAGGAGGAGGAGGAGGAGGCGGAGGAGTAGGAGGAAGAGGAGGACGAGGAGGAGGAGGGTCACGGGGGGACACAGGGGGAGGAGGGAGAGGAGGAGGAGGAGGAGGAGGAGGAGGAGGAGGAGGAGGAGGATTGGGGTGCCGTTCGGGGGCTTCTGAGAAGCCTCTGAGCTTTTGAGCTTCCAGGGAGCCTCTGCGCTCCTGAACCGCTGAAGACCTTCTGAAGAGCCTCCGAGGAGTTTCTGAGGGGTCCTTGATGAGCTTCCGAGGATCCACTGAAGAGCCTCTGAATCGCCTCTGCGAGATTTCTGAAGATACGGCGCTGCAGAGCTTCTGTCGAGCTTCTAAAAAAATTGTTGAACGCCCTCCGACGGCCCTCGGAGATGCTTCTGGGGAGCTTCCGGATGCCTGACCAGCTTCCGAAGGGCCACTGAAGAGCCTAAACAGGTTGCGAAGTATAACCTGAAGAATCCTGTGGCATCCTGAGGGGCCCGGAGGAATCCGGCGGAACCATGTGGGCGCTTGGGGTATCGTAAAAGGTCGTGAGGCCTCGGGATTTTTGATGTCTTGACATACATTGCGGTGCAAGTCGTGCGGTTTGCAGTCGCAGAGGCCGAGGGTGATCGGGCGCATCGCAGACGCTTGTACCAGATTCCAGTGGGAGCCTTGCATGGACCGACTCAGTCCAGGAGCGCTCTTCAGGCCCTTCCATTAATTAAAACAAGCTCCTCCTCCTCCTCCTCCTCCTCCTCCTCCTCCTCCTCCTCCTCCTCCTCCTCCTCCTCCTCCCCCTCCTCCTCCTCCTCCGCAACTGGTTGTGGTCGGCCCCAAGTGGTCGACGATCGGCCCGAGGTGGATGCGATCGGTCCTGGTCGCGCCTCCTGGGGGCCTTTTGGGGGCCTCTCGGGGGGCCTCTTCGAGCCTCTGGGGGGCCTCTCGGGGCCTTTCTGGGGGCCCTTCCGGGCCGAGGGCTCGACATGTCCGTTCGGGTGCCCCCCGTGGGCCCCCTCTTGGAGCAGTTTTTTGGGGCATCTTGGGCCGTCTTGGGCTCTTGGGCCGTCTTAGGGGGCCCTCTCGGGCAATGCTGAGGACCTCTTTGGGGCCTCCTGGGCCGTTTTAGGGCGATCTTGGGGGCCTCTAGGGCCGTCTGGGAGCGTCGGGAAGCCGAAAAGGCGAGAACGCCGAAAACCTTCAAACCCAAACCCAATGGAACTCGGTGGTTTGGGCTAGGTTTCTTGGGGGCCTCTTAGGGCGTCATCGAGGCCTCTTTGGCCGTCTGGGGGCCATCTTGAGCGTCTTGGAGCGATCGTTCGGCGACCTGGGGCCCCCTTGGACAGTCTTCGGGGTTTCCTGGAGCCGTCTTGACCCGTCTTGGGATCGTTTTGGGCCCGAAAAAGTCATGCGACAAACCGCGGGGGAGCCCAGAGAACACGCGACAAGCCTTTCTGTAGATTTCAGAGTTTGGGGCCCAGGCCCGTAAGAAACTCTTCAAGACTGCGGCTTAAGGAATTTGGCAAGGGACCTGATGACACGCCCACTCCGTGCCCAGAGGCACGGTGGCGGATCATGATGGTTGTAGGGTGGGCTCTCCCGCTTTGGGCCTCCCCCCAGGGCGGAAGCGAAGTGAGTGACAGCGTTCAGAAATAAGCTGTTACGGTAGGAGCAGCAGGAAGAGCCATGGTAACTATTCGGCACAATTGAGTTAGTAGTCGTCCCGTCTATGTTCACCTCCATGCTGTAGCATGAGAAACTTGCGGCAACAAGGTTCAGGCGAGTTCGTGCCGACATTCCTCAAGCAGCGTCCTCACGCCGCACTTCCACTTCGCACCCGCACGGTATAAGCTCCCCTCGCGCACGGAGCGTCTCTTCATGGCCGCGCAAATCGGAAAGCCGTAGAGACAGGGCACGTGAATGCAACAGCGGGGGGAGCACGTGACGGCGGCGATCTGGTTCTACGCGTCGGGATAAGCTCGTAAAGTATGATACGAAGTGACAGGAGTTTGACATATAGTGGGGTTTGGGTGCTATGGCACCCGCCGGCCGTGTTGCGTGAGCCCCGTGCGATGCGAGCGACAGATTGATGCTGCGGTAGCCTGTCCAACGCAGGAATCACAGCGCATACCCACGTGTTTCACTGATGAGATCGAAGCGTCTGTGCGCTTGGATCGCAGCGTCTGTGGTGCGCGAGCTCACGCGCGAAGCGAACACAGGGTTCACCTCGTGTCGACCGTGCGCCTGCAGAGCGGCACACTGGGCAAGTGCGTTCCCATACAGACCATCATGAGGCATGAGGTTGCCTTTGTCCTTGCTTGTTCAATGTGGGGCCAGCATGATGACAACATGGAGTAACTTTCGTTGGCGGAATGGACGTCGCGTCTCATTCCAGCCACGCAACCAGAAACGTAGACAGCAAACGTCGACGTTGAAAGTGGTAGTGTTGACCCCGCGTTGCTTCGGCCATCTCTGGGCAATTCGAAACAAAACTTGGCCCAAAGACAAGTTTTGGTCTAGGGTGGCAAGGCAGGGAGCGGGCGTGTGGTTAAAGTGGAACGACAGGGCGGCGCGGTACAAGCAGAAGAGGGCCCATGTGGCCATTTCGGGTGCGTCGGCGTGCCCCGCCCCCCCGCATGGCTGGCGGCGGCACGATCCGAGCCAGTCCGCACCGACATTCCTCTAGCAGCGTCCTCCCGCCTCTGTTCTAACCCTGAAAGGTCTTTAGATAACCCCCCTGCAATAGGTGGAAAATAAATATATCGGGGGGGATCTTATTGACGGACTGGGCCCCGCCCAATAACGGAAAATAAATATTGCCCCCGCCGCGCGACGACGACGACGACGAAAACGACACCGACGACGACGACGACGACGACGACGACGACGACGACGTTACCCCGCGCCTGCCCTCGACGTGCCTCGCGGGCCCTGCGCCCTCCTCGCCTCCCCGCGGCCGCGCCCGAG